ATTACCAAACTGCATCAATATGATATATTTTAATGAATTATCTATAATTTCCTTAATGACGAATTACTTCCTACAAAAGATTTTGTATAATACAAATTGTTTGAATGATATTAAATATATTTTAAAGTTAATAAAATTGCCTATACTCAACTCCTTAAAAATGGCTGGTGAAATGTGCTATGAATGAAAACGGCTAATCACGTGGCGTCCGTTAGTTTTGTAATATGTTGGACACAAACTCACTAAGAGATTTTCGTTTCTCTATTTTTACCCACAGATTGCATTTCAAAAGTTCGAAAAGGGAGTTAATCCCACAAAGACATCCAGCTACAACCTTAGACCTCTGCTTTGGGAAGCCGGCAGCACTGTCAGCAACAAAGTGCTTGAATGTCTGGTGCTAAGATTTGCCAAGAGTCGGATCCTGACTTCAGAGTGTTTCATAATGGCCATGGTCAGACTGCACTTGGCTCAYGGTAAGAAGATGGATATCTGGTGGCGAGTATAAGCTAAATTAATTGTTGATGTTTTCTTTTATCTCCAGAACGGTATCACAGTTTGGACACAAAAATGAGCAAAGGAAATCCATTGTCGTTAGAAGAGGTAAATTATTTTGATCGGAAAATATTATTTTGTTGTAATTTATTGTATTATAGGTAAGTTAATACATACATATTATATTTACTATCGTTGCAGTTGATCCTGATGACTATCTACTCATGATTTTGGGCCCATCGACGTGTACCATAGATGATAGTACCAGTCATTAAGTGATATATTACGTTAAAACCACGCAACACGTCCAACCGTACGGTTCTAATTATTATTATATTATTATTAGTATTTTCGATTTTTAGTTTTTACATAATCATAATCAAATCAGGCATTACAACTCATAGTATTTTTAACATAGGTATTCCGCCTGTTTCATTATCTTATATTGTATAATTGTTATTTTTTTTAAACGATGTTTGTACGCGTTATCGAATCGATAACTCCAAACTGCTGGCCAAAGCGAATAATTTATTTTTGTAATTATTTTTAGTAGGTATAATAAACTTTGTTATGTTATTTTATTCCAAATATTGTTGTGTTATATAAAAATATTTCATACATTATTGAAAACGATCATTTAATGATGAATTTATACATAGTATTATACTATAATAGTCGATATAAAATAGATAAGAAAAATCGAGGTATCTATAAAGAATTCACAGTAATTAAAAAAAATACATTAATTATGCTATTCTATTTTTCGTTTTCTACTTTTATAATATTTTAAAAATAAATAAAACATGCGTACCTAAATTAAGATACGTTTTCCCCTCAGTATCTACCTTCAACTATTGGCCCTAAGTCTGACATAGTCGGCGCCTGGCATCTAGACACTGACCAGACCAAGTTCAGACAGGTGTTCGTCAATATTGCACCGMTTTTTGTAGACTACCTGTAATTTATACATCTTTTGCGCCTGCGTATTTATCACAAACTAAAAGGTATACATCWTTTCCAACAGTAAATTTATAACAAATCAATTAAGTTTTTTTTCAAAAAAGGTTTATGTGAAACAACACTTTATGTAAAGGGCACATAATTATTAAAATTTAAAAATTGTCTACACAAAAATCAACTAGACTAAAATTATGAAAAAAAAAATGAGAAAGGGGGATTGGCGCCCGCAGACAAATGTATTTCAAGAAATAAAAATAATAATAGGTAAGAAGAAAATATTCTACATTTGGGATACACACTGAAATCTGCAATGTGTAATCTCAAGATAATTATATGCAAAAAACAATTAAGAATAATAATATAATCATGATAGAAGGCACGTGGTTAATAAAGTTTAAAAATTGTGTTCATAAAAATCAACTTAAGTTAAATTAATGAAATATATAGCTTTTATTTAATAGTGCTTTCGATGTACTTAACGATTTATCCTTGATATTTTTTTTAAATTAATATTGAATTTAAAATTAAATTAAAATATGAATGTCAAATGATGACAGAATGAAGAGTTATAAAAAAATTTATCAATAAATGGCATATACCTCCATTATTTTATTGCCAGGAGATTTGAGCGCACACGAATTGCGTACCAAAACAGGTAAATGAACCTTTTTGTATTACTTTACATCCAGGTTAATTATTAAAAGTGTTTCCTAAAGTTATAAGCTATAATAAAAATGTTAAGTTATATAAAAAAAAATTTAACTGTAAAAACATAATAGCATAAATAGTATAAATTATAAATCATAATCATATATTTATTTTATTCAAATAGTATTTTTATTGTCTTATTGGTATTCGTCGTTTTGTAGACTACTTTTTATCAATATTATATAATATATAGTATCAGATTGTATAGTTTTCTAAAACTTCTAAAAATTTACATATGTTTGGATGAGAAGAATCAATAAATTTTTAAATTTCTAATGAAAAATTCGAAAGTTTTGGTGTGGTTCTTTGTACACTCGAACTTTTTTCTGCCCATAYCTACGGAAGAAATGTTGAATTTTCATTTATRTATGATGTATCTACTAAAAAACTTTTTCATAAAATATTATGTTTATGATGTATACTTAATTTATTATTATTATTATTAATATTATTTTTTTTTTTTAATTTAAAAATATTATCGAAGTTAAAAATTAAATTTTGAAACCATTAATAAAAATTTTAAGTGAAAAAGTAACACGAWTGCGTCCCGGACGCAATTCGTTTCTAAAGGTTTGTTTACCTAACTTGGTATGCAATTCGTGAGCATCGATATCATTATATTAGATACTATTAWATAATTTAATTACTTGTAAGTTGTAACACTACACATTATATAACATACCAGATGTCTTCATAATATTCGTATATTTTATTATTCACTCGTTGTAAAATTTTTGCAAATAACACCACTTCTTAGAACTATTCACTTTTTTTTAGTAGTGATTGATAACAGTAGAAATAATATAATGTAATAATTGTAATAATATTCATAAAATATTAAAATCAACAATGATATTTGGAAGCCAGACACAAACTGATGCTCAGTGGCGGATCTAAGGAGAAGCACGGAGGGCCTCGCCCCCCCCCATTGGCATAAGTTAGGTTTTTAGTTTTGTTAGTAAAGTTGTGTGAAACTAGATGGGTGGAATCTCACGAGGCGATTATTCGGTTTTCCGATATGCTTATACCTATTGTACAATTTTTGGAAGACATGACAGTTAATACGGATGRAAATATACTTTCTAAATGTAACGTTCTTCATTCAATATTAACGTTTGAATTTATTTTGGCCTTAGAAGTAACAGTAGAAATATTGTCTTTGCCAATATCACGTAAATTACAAGACCCTGGTTTGGATTTGACTAAATGTATTGAAATCATRCAGACTATATTAGATGTTCTTAAAAACAAAAGACAAAATGCAACATTTAATAACATTTATAATCGAACCGTATCAAAAGCCGAAAATTTWAACATTGAAGTTAAAACAYCACGAATATGCAAACGACAAATAAATCAGTAGCATCAGTGATGCTCCCCAACAAATTATGTGAAATACTTGCACCAAACAAAGAGAGAACATCATCACTATCAGAATTCCTCAAAAATACCAACTTTCTGCATACAATATAATAACATTAGCAAACCTTAGAATAACACAGATATTGTAAACATATTTCTCTTAAAATKACACTAACACTAAATTCACATGATACACACACAGAATATTTTRTATATATTTTTCTAATGCGAATATAMSTACGTTATATTTTATATTATGTTTATTAAAATAACTACTTTTTATTTATATAAGCCTTTGAATTGGCAATCAATATGTTGTATTATATTGTTTCTAAATATAATAATTACAATTTTTATATATTTTATTATTTAGGACAAAACAATATTCTAGTTCCTAATACTCACATGCTGATATCAACATCCATCAGTTAAATGTACTTATATTATCACCCTTAATAATAATGTTTAAATTTTGCATTATTAARTAGGTAGTACAAAAATTTAAATATGTTCAGTAAACATGTACCTAATTGTTATCATGAAAATATGCTAATGGATTCGTAAAATAATATAGGGCAGAAAGTTGAACATCAATGATTTCACTATAAACTTGAACACATTAAGAGGACGCTACACACATATTTGTTGTTTCCGTCTTACAAATGCGTAACATAACAAATTTATGCTTAGCCGATCACGTCTAATTCCGTTAGTTTAAAAATAAGAGTAAACTGACCTTTTATGAAACTTGATGATGAGAACTTTATCTGTGTTTGTATGTGGAGTTCTTAAGATAACTTAGTTTTTAAGTGAGTTATAAGCTTTTTAATTTACGCTTTTTTATAAACGCATAACTTACTACAAATTGTATTATCGAAAAAATTGACAAATGCAGATAATTTTCCTAACATCAAGTTTCATAACAGGTCGTTTCACTGTAATTAAACTAACCGAGCTAAACGTGATCTGCTAAGCGTAAATTTGATATGTTGCCCACTTGTGAGACGGAGACTACACTGTGTAAAGTTATTTTACTTCATTATCATTCAACTTTGACAAACTTTCAAAAATAATATAGATAATATAATATATACATTTTTATTGTTAACTATAGAAAATACAGATAGATATATATCAGAAAAGTTATATTCTTATATTATTAACACAATATTGCTGTATAAAGTAATTAGGTACATTAAATATTTAAACGACATAATATTTTATGTTTGCTGACAATAAATGTATTGCAGTGATGGTAATTTCACAACTTTTAGAAAATAATTGTAATTATCTTAACAATAATACTTTTTTT